ATTATATAAACTAATTTTCTTTGAAATTTGCAAGTATATAGATTAAACTATTCTCCAAAGGTGGTTCAATAGATAAAAATTTAAGATTCTAATTTAAAAATCTTAAAATTAAATATTGAGTCAAATAAAAAAAATTAAAGAAAGGGAAGTGCTATTTTTCTCTGGTGTAAATCATCATTATCAAATGTATAAAAAAAATATGGACTAAACTATGATTTAACTCTTCCCTTTGGCTGCCGTGATCAGATTTTAACTGGGAAGTGTGGAAACTGTTAACAAAGGGTTAATTTGCTTAAATCTTAAAATTAAGGGGTTTATAAGGATAAAAAAATAATTTAGGGGTTTATGTGTGAAACTGTGTTAGTTCAGCGACTTAGGTTGTAGGAAAATATATAAATAAAGATATTAATTTTATATTTAAAAATATTAAAACAAAAATAATACAACTACAAATCAACATTACCAGACAAGGCCTAAGTTATGATCTTTGCCCCATGAACGGGACAAAGGCTTTTAGCTGAAGTTACGCCAAAGATTATGTGTGGAAATTATGTGGCCAATAATTAAAGCAAAATATTTTTCTCTTTCACTTTTTATCACTCGAGTCCTAATGATTAACGCCATGACTGGGAAGTCTTTACGGTCTCTTTCTCCTTAGTGCTACCCCGCACCAAATTATAATTGTTTGTAAAGTTTTTATATGTAAATGTAAGTGATATTATTAAGTAATATACCACTTGTAATTAAATTTTATTTTATTTTGTATGTAATTTTTTGAATAATTTTGTTTAATAACAAAATTTTCAATTACTGTTAATATATGATAAAAAAAATTTATTTAAAATTACATTCAAAAAGTCAATAAAACAACTAAATTGAGACTGACGGAAAAGCACGCTTTCCTTGCAAAGACCGGCTGAACATTTTTCTAAAGTCAAGAGTCCACAAGACTAGGAAGTTGCTGTGTAAACATTTTTCTAAAGTCAAGAGTCCACAAGAGTATGTAGTTGCTATGTAAACATTTTTCTAAAGTCATGTAAAAAAAAAAAAAACATTTTTCTAAATTCAAGAGTCCACAAGACTAGGAAGTTGCCGTGTAAACATTTTTCTAAAGTCGAGTCCACAAGACTAGGAGGTTGCTGTGTAAACATTTTTCTAAAGTCAAGAGTCCACAAGAGTATGTAGTTGCTGTGTGAGCATTTTTCTAAAGTCAAGAGTCCATAAGATTAGGAAGTTGCTGTGTAAACATTTTTCTAAAGTCAAGAGTCCACAAGACTAGGAAGTTGCCGTGTATTTGGGTCATTTCGTTTTAGTCTTCCACTGCTTAATACTCTTTCCGTGCAACATGGGTCTAGCTAATGTTACACATCATTATTTTTGTTAACGTTATATAAAT